AAATAATACAGTTTGACATCACTTTAATTTGCATGGCTCCATCCTACAGAATCCCGAGATTTGTCATTTTCTGAAGCAGCAGCGCTCTTTGACAGAGAAGGCTAAAGTCCACATAAAACTATAGATACCAGGATTCAATAGGATGGACCTACAGCACTTAAAGTGGTGTCAAACTGCATTATTTCTACAGGGTAGGTGCACCCTCTGCCATACTAACTCAAGATCCAAATTTCTGAAAAGTATTAAGATCTGGAAAGCTCTAGTCAAAAATCATCAGGTCAAATGATGATCTGACTTGGAATTAAACAGCCATTTAGGTTCAGTCATTTTATGGGCCAAAGGCCAATATGTGAGGACAGGTTGGATGCACGATCAAAGGCTCTCGCAGAGTAGATTCTTCCTCTACAATATACCCCATCCGATTCTCCATCTGATAGACGCAGATATTATCTCAGAATTGGACTTCTACTCCTCTGTTTCCCAAGCCCTCATTTGCACATCCTGAGAAACTGACATACCTGTGGGATCTTGTAGGTGTTTAAGAGATTGGCCATTTGCATGGATGCATGGAAACTCAGTCCCTCAATAATGGCCATTAATCTATTTTCTCTGCCACAGTTGTAATTGCAGAGATCCCCCATGAAAAGTAGATCCAGAATATTTGCACATGCTCTCATTGAATTAAAACTATTATCATAGATCTTGGATCCCAATGTGATGTTGGGTAATAGTTTGGCATTCTTGTTGATCTCATGAATAGCAAAAGCAAATGCAAGGACAATTTGGTAGTTTTTTGGCATGAGACTGCAAAGAGAATTTCACAGAATCTTACAACCTGATACCAGAGAAATAAGTACTTTTAATTTCTACGACACTATAGTGGCTGACCATAGAAGAAGAGCACAGCATTTGGTTTTAAGCTGCTATATCTATTTTCACTTCATTGCTTTTTTTTAAGGCAAACAGAAATTCAGACCAAGTAATTTTCCCAACCAGAATCATTAGGAGTCTGAATATGCATCATTTTGCTATAAAAGTAGTTGGTGTAAACATAGAGTTGGAAGAGACTACAAGGGCCATCCAGACAACCTACTGCCATGCAGGAATTCACAATCAAACCACTCCCAGATGGCCATCCAGCCTCTGTTTAAAAACCTCCAAAGAAGGAGACTCCACTGCACTCCAAGGCAGCATATTCCATTGTTGAACAGTTCTTCAAATCAGAAAAGTCTTTTTTTAATGTTTAGGTGGAATCTCTTTTCCTACAGTTTGAATCCATTTTTCCATGCCCTAGTATCTGAAGCAGCTGATACAAAGCTTGTCCATCCTCAATATGACATCCCTTCAAATATTGAAACATGGCTATCATGTCACCCCTAATCCTTCTCTTCTCCTGGCTAAACATACCATCACCCTTGCTGCTCCTCATAAAGGATGGTTTCTAGACTTTCACCATTTTGGTTGCTCTGCTCTGGATCCATTCCATGTAGTCAATATCCTTCTTTTATAATGGTGTCCAGAACAATGGATTCAAGCTACCAGAAAAGAGAATCTACCTAAACATTAGGAAAAACCTTCTGACAGTAAGAGCTGTTCAACAGTGGAACACTCCCTTGAAGTGTGGAAGAGTTTCCTTTGGAAGTTTTTAAACAGAGGCTGGATGACCATCAGTTGGGGGTGCTTTGATTGTATACTCCTGCATGGTATGGGGTTGGCCCTTAGGGTGTCTTGCAACTCTATGATTCTCCAATTCTATGAAATCGTTTTATATCTATGTTGTATCCCACCTCATGCTTTTGGACAGATAAAGTTATTATTATTATTATTATTATTATTATTATTATTATTATTA